AACTAGGAGTCCAACTTCACCTAAGACAGAAGAAAGTAAATTGTTGTTTTATGTTGCTAGAAGTAAGCCATTTATATATCAACCAACCTTCTTTTAAAACTGCTATCAGGGCCAGTCAGTGGCACGGTGGTTAAGGTGGTTGGTTCTCACATGGCCGAGTGAGTGGTTAGAGTCCCAGACCTGGCAGTTTAAAAGATAAGCCAGGCACATGTGCATGTGTGCCCAAAATCCCCAAAGGAAGAAGAATTGGAGGAAAAGGGATTACAGCATGACCATCCTCCATGGGCATGCTTTCTCACTTTCTCTCTCTCTCTGGTGAGTGCATGTATCCTCTGGCAAAACAAAACAAAACAAAACAAAACAAACTAATGTCATACAACTCACAGGTAGTAGGCGTCATTTTCCCATGCATGTATATATATGAATTGTACATGCATATGTATCTCACCCCCCCCACACACACACACCACACAAGTACTATACATTATTCTGTATGGCTATACCACAGAATTCCCTTTTTTAAATTTTAAATTGCCAGAGTATGTGTGTGCTCACCAGAGAGACATAGAGACAGAGAGAGGAAAGAGAGAAAGCACCCTCTAATGGGGCATGGTCAGGCTGCAATCTCTTCTCTGTTTCTCTGTCCGGTTGGGACTGTGGGCATGCACATGCACACACACATGCGCACGCACACACACACACACACACACACACACACACACACAAAATCTGGTGTGATTTTTAATTCTTCCATGACAGAGTTGGGACTGGGATTCATATCACAGCTGTCCATGTGGGCTCTAGCTCCTTTAACCATAAGGCTTTGGGGCTGACACTATAATTTTTTTAATGCTAATCTTTTACTGAATAATGTTTTACACACATAATTAGACAAATAACAGTGTTAAAGCATAAAAGTAAAGACTACTGCAAGCTAACCATAATTACATATCCCTTCCTACAAAAAACTCACTTCACAAGCCCTCAAGAAGTTGTGAAGCTAGGTTTAAAACTGTAATTATATTAATATAGTGGTAAATGAGCAAAATGTGGAATTTCTGCATCGTACATAAATTTAAGGATACTTACATAAATCTTTTTTATCCCACTCTGATAAATTTTCTTATATGACAATAATACCTTAGTCCTTAAAAGTCATGTGGTTGGGCTACCCACTTGGCTGACTTTGCAGTTCTAGTCTCAGACCTGGTGGCCTGAAAATTATGCTGGGTATATGTTCATGCATACCCCACAAATCTTGAAAGGAGAATGGAGGGGAAAGGATTATGGTGTGGCCATCCCCTTCTGGGGAGAGGTGATTTCTCACTTTCCCTTTCTCTTTCTCTGTCTCTGCCTGGTGAGCACACAATGCCCTGTATCAAAAACCTGGAAAAACAAGTCATGTGGTCAAGATCAGCAAAGGCACAGGATAACCGAACAAAAGTCTACTGTACCTTTGGGAACTTTGATGCAATATCCATTTCCATCGCGGACAGGTTCATCTTTTTCCACATCGTATTTAATCAGCTCATAAGTTATGACTTTCTAGCAAATTTAAAATATATCATTTGAATACAAATTCCTTGACAGTTTTTAATTTTCTTGTGGTATACCATAAAGCATATGTATCTTAAGGGTACAGCTTGATAAAATTATGCATTAATATACACTCATGTGACTACTCCCAGATCAAAATATAAAACTTTTATTTCACCTAAAATGTTTCCTCCTGCCCCTTTCTGTGACGTTAACTACTATTCTAATGTTTGAAACCATCAATTAATCTTAAACCTAAAAAAAAAAAAAAAAAAAAAAAAAAAAAAGGAAATTTATGCCTTTATGCCTCTCTTTCACTCACATGTCTGTGATATCCATCCATCCATGTTGGTATTTCTATTAATGACTCATTTTTTATTACTAGGCAATTTTCTCTTGTATGAATATACCACAACTTATTTATTTGTTCTCCCATTGACAGCTACTGGGTTGTCTTGGACTGTTACAAATAAAGCTGTTGTAGGGACTAGCAGATGGTGTAATGGTTACGTTACTGGCTCCCATGTGGCTGACTGTGATTTGTCCTGGACCTGGTGGCTTAAAACTCACACTGGTGCGTGTGCGTGTGTACCCAAAATTCTGAGAGGAGAATGGACGAGAAAGGATTGTGGTGTGGCCATCCTCATTGGAGGATAATTTCTCGCTTTCTGTCTGGTGAGTGTATGCACCCTACAGCAAAAATCTCTTAAAAAAAAAAAGCTGAGGAGAGGCAAGAGGCAGGCCTTCAGCAGAAGATTCCTCATGGCTCCTGAGAACTAGTGATTTCAGGGTAAAAGAGAAATGAAGATTTCCTACTGATAATTCAGCCTCCAGCCCACAAGCTTGAGTGGTAAGAAGTTCCTCTAGCCTTCTATCTCTGTCTCTGTGTCTCTGTTCTCTGCTTCGGTCTTCTAATTTTTTGGTAATTTTTCCTGTTTAAAATTTTTGAAGGTATTCTCTTGCTCTCATCCTTGCCTTTGTCTTGTTAATAATCCCCTCTTCCCCTCCCACTCAGGCAGGAAAGGCAAGAGGCAGGCCCTCAGCAGAAGATTTTTCATGGCTCCTTAGAACTAGTGATTGTGTGCTTATGCACCATGCAGTTTTCTATTTTGTGCTTTTATAAAAATAATAATAATTTTTTTTAGTTTTTAAATTTTTTTCCTTCTTTTTTTTTCTGTTCCTTTGTTGTTGTTGTTTCTCTCTCTCTTTTTCCTTTTCTTTTATCTCATCTCTCCGCTCCTCAATATCCATTTACTGTGTTTCTAGACAGATGTAAGGGAACTATAGCCAAACATGGAAATACTAGTAGGGCTAACGTATTCCTCAATATCTACTGAATCTGCTACACAAAGTGATCACAACAGAATGGCAAAGAGATTCCAGATCACCTCTTTCTGCTTGCTCCTGAATATTCAGATTGAACTCTAAGAATTAGGAAGAAACACACCATCCATCAGGTGACTAGAAATCACCACAGAACCACAAGAAATATGGGAAAGCAAGAAAATACCTTTTCTCCCAGGGAAAAGAATAATTCCTCTTCATCCACAGACAGTTCAAT